CAAACTCGGAATTTTGCATTATATACTCATTGAATAGCGTGATGTATTAAAAAAATCCATTGCTGGGCACTAGGAAACAATTTTTTCAGAGCCACAGACTGTCATAGCTTCAGGGCTCGGTATAAGTAATAGGCCTGATGAATATATACACCTCTGCATTTGCATTCTAGAGTGAGCAGTCACTCAGACAAATATCATGTAGGGTTTCTAGCCTGGGATGTAGATATCTCCAACCATACATATGAGCCTACAAGGGGATCCTTGATTTCTTCTCTGGTTGCTTTTTGTAGCCTGAGCAATAGAGAGATCTGAAATAGAGTGGATGTAGGTCGTGGTTATGTACCCTTTGTATTCATACTGCCATATGGGGAAAAACCAAATTAATAGGAGAAAACCTATACTTTTGAACCTTGGAAGGTATCTTTATCGATGACAAAAGGAAACATCATCCTCTCTTGTAATCCAACCCGGGAAACAGATTTACTAGACGGGGTCTACTGCCCCCAATGGCCTTTGGGATGTTATGGGTTAGCAAGCAAAACTCATACCTAAAAGTGAGCTGTAATTAGCTCGTAGAGACTATCTTTTGAGGGAAATTTTCCCTCACCTACCAGAGAGCTTATAAGAGGCGATGTCTTTGGTGAGCATAATTATAACGATTACATTAAGCGATAGAGTTGATGCCCAAAGGCTGATCATTTCTTCGAGCATTTTGAGTGATAGACAGATAGACAGAGCTCTTTCTTTCTATCCTGCTTTGGGAACTTTCGATTTCTGCCGTAAAGAACCATATCCGACCTTTATGCATGGTAGAAGATGATGTAATTCGACAATTCGACAACTCGACTACGTATGTAGGTAGCATTGAAAAAACAGAACGAGTAAGTTGCTTTTGCCTTGCACCGAGGTGCAAGAAACCTGAAAATGCCATAGAACCACATATGATCAAGATTGGTCTTTGTGACGCGTAGAGTTGGAAACTTACCCTAAATGATTGATGTTTTTGATCATGACGTTATTGATTATGTCTCTCCAGCCCTATGAGCTTAATATAAGCGTAGAAGCCAACTAGAAACCTGGAAACCTTGTCCATGTCTGTTTTCAGCGCAGACAAACCTCGAAATCCGTGAACGGGTCGCCCCGCTCCCCGACCCCATTACCTGGTTTTGGTGATCCGGGGTCGACACGTATAGGGCGACAAATAAGGCTTAGGGTTTTAGTGTAGGAAGGTGTACTTGTTCCCTCACTGTTAATTTGGACATGGTTAGTCTCATTTGAATGCATATGCACTATGCAATATAATTATCCGTAGCCCAGATCAATATCAAGTCAACACCAAAACAGCCTCACAACAAATTATCTAACCCCAATGCGACAAGGACCACCCCATTTGGTATTTGCACCGACACCATGCTCACTGAAAAGCCTATTGGTGGTAAACGAGCTGATCATACGAATCATTACCGGAATAGAGCGATGTGCGATCTTGGCGCGGGGGAAGAAGGCTTGGCTTTAGCGGGGGAGATTCTAAGGTTCTTCGAGAACGACTAGAAGACTTCCAAGGTTGGGATCTAGAGCGATCTATATAGATCATGCGTTGTACCTTTTTGGATTTAATTATTTGGAGTTTTATAGTTTAGGTTGAAGACCCACAATGTTATCGGAAGCAACGGTTTATTTTTCTCTAGACCATTCTAAGAGAGACATTCACAACGTGTATATCGTGATAAGAGCAGTGGCTCACGAGGCCAGGGGTGGATGGTTTAAAATCAGAGCAACCAACGAACCCCAGCAAAAAATAAAAAATAAAACAAACAGCAAAATCCTTGACGGGTATACGCTTAGATGCAAATGCATGACAAATGTGAGGGAAAGACCATCGCTGACCGGAAGTCCTTGGCATCTAGCGAGGAGTAACTCGGACCGCGATGAGAGCTCAAGGATGGTGGACATCAATACTCCAAATGATATCTAGAGAATGATGTCCGACCGTGGTAAAGGAGCCAAAAAATAAGGGTTGAATAAATAAAAGACATCGAGTCTCGAGGAATGGAAGGGGTGATTGGAAAAAAGGGAACAATCTCCTGGATGTGAAGAAAGTAGGTTGGATATCAGGGATGGATGACTCAAGCGCAGACCTGGACGGCGATCAAGGCACGGGCGAGATCCTCGGGGTTGAAAGGGAGATCCTTTCGGGCGGACATAACGCACGGGGTCAAAGCGGGCGAGATGGCGTGAACGAGGGGTGAAGAGTAGCGGATGGACTCCTTGAGGAAGAACTTGGGGTCCTTTGAATCCTCTGGGATCTCATAGATAGAGCCCTCGTTTATCAGGGTCATCATTGAGCCATTATAACTGGCGGGGTCGACGACGGTGGAGGACTGAGAGCCGGAGTCGGGGCCGCGTGGCGATGATTCAGCAGGGGCCTCTGGATGGGAGGTGGCTATAGAGAAAAAAACGACGTTAGAATTAATTTTCCTTGGATCGGGTTGGGGATTTTGATTAGGGCTGGGAATGCGTACCTGGATCGACATCATCCGGAGACACCGAGTTGTCAGAATCGGATGGGCCGGAGTAACCGTCACAACCCTCATACGTGGCGCAGGGCGAGACGGAGATTTCAAATGAACGCGTTCGTTCGACCATCGCACCTTGGAAGGACCAAGCGGCTAGACTCTTCTGGTGGGCACGATCGAAAGGACCACGAAATTTCGAAGGGGGACACTCGTGTCGTCTATAATATTCGATCTTGGGCTTTCCATCTTTTTTGGAGGAGCGGAATACCCGCTTGACCTTCTCGCGGAACGTCATATTGGAGAGAAAAAAGAATTGTGAACTGGGATGTATTCAAGATTCAGATTCAAGAAGTTCGAGATCAATGCGGGCGGTTCCTGGGAAAATGCCTCAGTGCATACCACTCCCGAATTGGGAACGGACGCGGTGGGTGTGCAAGCACGAATAGCGGGGTTTTTGTTTCAGGAACAATGTAATCATTCTATGATATATAGAGAGAGAGAGAGGAAAATTACAGGAAGGAAGGAATCCAAAAAAGGAAGAGAAGATTGGGGGGAAATGCGGGAATTATAGTCGATGAAGGGTGGATGCGACGGCAAGAGAGATAAGCCAAGGTGGGATGGGATGTCCGGGTTCCCCAGAAGCGTCTCCGGTCCATATCCGGTGAGGGTATTGGGGGCAAAATGGTGTCTTTTAACTGGGAACTGTCTGTGCGAGTACGAAGTACGGAGTAGATATTATCATCATGCTAATTTTTTCTATATGATGTTGGACTTTAACTATTCTCTACTTTGTATAACACTATGTAGTAACTATTATCTGGATTCAATATTGAATATCTTTGTATATCGGCAACCCCGATAGATTTAATTCCCGAGAAAAAATGACCCGAAAACCGGCCGAGTCTGGGCCAAGAAATGGCAATGTCACTGTTACTTACGAAGTACACTTCCAAGGTGAGAGTACCTCGCAGATAGTGGTAGCCAACAGAATCCTTCAGATTGGCCGTGTGTCATAATACCAAGTATGGAGTATAATAGAATTGATCATCCGAGATGTCAGTGGCGTACAAAGTACTGCAGCGAAGGCTTCCAGAAACTCGGTGAGCCTCACGGTTACATCATTAGAGAAATGAGATGTGTCACGAAATATCACCGACTTGTCATGAATTCCCATGAAATTGCCATGAAATGGGGGTGAAATGGGGTGAAATAGATTGAAATGGGTTCCAACGTGTTCAAATGTCCCAGCCAACAGACGGGAATAAACCGGAATTGGAGTGGAACTGGGCTTGCCCCGATTGCCCCGCTTGCCTCCACTCGGCACGCTTTTGCCGCGTTTGCCTGTCCGTGGGGGGTCCTTTTGGTCATTTTGGTTCACAATGCACATTTGGACGTGACTTCCACAATAACAAGGCCGGCTGGCCCAATGGCAAGGCGCTTGACTACGAATCAAGAGATTGCAGGTTCGATCCCTGCGTCGGTCACTTCTTTTTTTCTTTTTGGTCTATTTATCTATTGAAGTCCTATTTTGTATATTTATTTTCTTATTATTTTAATGTGATAGATGGACACTAAAAAAATATTATGTATATTGATGACCTCATAGTTTATGATCAAAGACTGAGTTGGCATTATTCGTACAGAATATTGGATATGCATGTAATAGCGCCTCAACCCACTGCCACGCAATAGATCGTACAAGTACACCTGGTGGGGGTACCATTTCTGACTCTATTGGAGGTCCTTTCAAAAAGCCATGGATCTTGCATTTTGCTTTGTACTCATTTTACCATTTGTACTATTTTTAATAATTTATGATTACATACTATTTTTGTCTTTGATTATGATCACCTCTGTTATACCGACTGTTTCCAGCAATGATGTAATGGCTGTTTTGCTTCGGGACCCTTTCTCCAAGAATGTCCAGTCCCTAAGTCACTTGGGCATGGAATATGGCATATACTGTCTTAGGCTTTGCACCCTTCCCCAGATCATCCTTGAGTCCCCTTGGCCCTGATCACCCTACTTCTTGCCCCTGGACGGCCCCTAGTTGCGCAGGCACAACCCTATTTACCCGATGCAGACATTAGGGCTGGCCCAAGCTCACACGACCAGGGAACTATGAAAGAGACATCGCATGCGGAGGAATGTACAGTAAATACGACAAAAATAGAGAGAAAGGCAGAACGAATTCGAGTCTTTGATTTTGTATAGAAATTTGAATGCATTTGAATCTAATAATAGCTGGAGAGAAATTGAAATTAAAGAAGAGAGAGAAAGAAAAAAAAAAGAGATTAAATTTTGTGATACTTTGTGTTCCAGAACTGTCCTCACCACGGATCCAAGAACACCCTAGAGACGAGAACATACCGCGTCATCCCTTACTTGACTTCTTCCTTCCTACACTTCACTACTATCGTAAGTTGACTTATCTCTCTCCATCTTTCATCTTCTGACCAGCGCAGAATCACTTGAATCTCAACAATGGCCAAGAAAGGAGGAAAGAAGAACAAGAAGGGCAGCAAGCCCGCCGTCGCTGCCGTTGTAGACAAAGTCAAAGATGTGATGTAAGTTGAAAGAAAAATTCAACATGCCACATCACCGTCTAATTGTTCAGTGAACCCGATCACGAAACCGTCGATGAGACCAACCAAACCGAAGGCCAAGCTGAGACTGTCGAACAGACAGAGGCACCTGAGACTGCGACACAGCCTACCGAGACCGTCGCTGAGCCCAGCAAGGCGCCAGAGCCCACCCCCGCGACCGAGGCCCCCGCAACTGAGATCCCAGCTGTGGCGGAGACCAAGGAAGTGGAGACCAAGGAGGCTGTGAAGGCCGAGGAGGCTCTCGCGACAGAGAACAAGGGTACGGTGGAAGAGGCCGTGGAGAAGGCGCAGGCCTCCAAGGCCGGCCAACTCGGCGAATTGGAAGGTGGCGCTGCCGCAGGCACTGGTATGACGCGTGTTAGTCAATGCGACAAAGATTTTTAACTAACCTGGAAATCTGCAGCTATCCTCCCGGAGACGACCACCAAGGAGCCCGTTCCCTCGATCGCCACGACCGGTGTTTCTGAGACATTGGCTGAGCGCCCCAAGACCGCCGAATCGACCGACGTCCCGGCTGTCGTTGCGCCCGCACCTACCGCCGCCCCCATCGAGACCGATGCTGCCCACCCCAAGCGCCCGTATGAGAATCCCATCTTCAACAATGAGGAGAACCTGAAGCCCCACAAGATGCCCAAGACAGATGAGGAGGCGCTTGGTGCTAGCGTGGCCGAGGACAAGAAGACTATTGAGACATTGGCCGGTGCTGGACCCGCCTCCACTGCCGCGTTCACAACCCCTGAGCCTGTGCCTGTTCAGGCCGAGGAATCCAAGGCTGTCGAGACTCCTGTTGTCGCCGAGGCACCCAAGGCTGTTGAGACACCTGTGGTTGCCGAGGAGAAGGTCGCTGAGACTCCTGTAGTTGCCGAGACACCCAAGGTTGTTGAGGAGAAGGCCGCTGAGACTCCCGTGGTCGCTGAGGCACCTAAGATTGCTGAGGAGAAGGTCCCTGAGCCTCCTGTGGTTGCTGAGGCATCTAAGGCTGTTGAGACACCTGTGGTTGCGGAGGAGAAGAAGGTCGCCGAGACTCCTGTGGTTGCCGAGACACCTAAGGTTGCTGAGGAGAAGAAGGTCGCCGAGACTCCTGTGGTCGCTGAGGCGCCTAAGGCTGTCGAGTCCGCCCCCAAGAGCACCCCTGCTCAAACTGGCGCCAGCAAGTCTACCTCCTCTCCCGTTGCGATCGCCGCCGCCAACGCTGCTATTCTCTCTTCCAAGGGCGATAAGGCTGCTCCCCCGGCCGCCGCCCCAGTCGTCGCCAAGGAGGCTGAGCCCAAGAAGCCCGAAGCTGCCCTGAAGCGTGGTGAGGAGCCCCTGCCTAAGGCTGAGGCACCCAAGCCCGAGACCAAGGCCGAGCCCGTCAAGGAGGAAGCTACCAAGGCCCAACAAGAGACTCAGAAGACATCTGAGCCCTTAGCAGAGCAGGCCGAGAAGAAGAAGGGCGGGTTCCTGTCCTGGTTGAAGCGCAAGTTCAAATGAGTAAATTAATTCGCTGTGGGGAGTGAGAGCCGGTGTATGATATGCGCTGTACGCTAGTTGGGGATGTTGGGGGGGGTGTGGGGGGGCTTGTAGGCTACCGAAGGTTGCCTCGGGCTTTGTTTTTTCTTTCTTTCTTTTGTCAGGCTTTGATGATACACCAGTTCAAATTATATATCAGAATCAGAATTATAGTGCTTATTATTTGTGTTCTTGGGCCTTGTAATGTATAGTTAAGGAGTTGGTACTCCGTATTATTGGATCATTTCAGACTTGTTGGGTTCGGACATGTTGTCTGATGTACACCGCTACTCAGGCGTCAATGCGTAGCTCTAGATGAACATGGCGTGCATAACTCGATTGTCTATTTACCCTTTCCCGGCGAATCAGCATTTTTGTATTGTCTCTCTGCACTCTAGGTCGTCGTCGTCCAGAGGTGGTCGATTCTTTTTGCCGACCGGGATTTCACCCCCTCCCCATGATGGGTTGCAACCAATGAAAGACAAAAAACTGAGACAAGACGACATCAAGGACACTAGGTTATGTCACTCGGTATCCTGGTAGAATGGAGAGGGTTACTAGTCTCATGCCAGGCAACCGATGCGATTGACTAGCGTTATGTTGGCTTTATGCCACAAAGTGGCCCTGTTTCGACACAATGATTCTGGTCTTTGCAGAAGCGTTGCGTTCAGTACCTTCCAATAATCTCCTTGATAGAGAGGGTTGAAAAACATCTTTTGTTATAGAAATCATTGGCCCTGTCGTCGAATGCTTCTGGACAGTGCCAAATCGACCCTACCAGATGGTCCGTTTCCTATGACCGTGGGATTTGGTACTGGCTATCGGACGGTTGGTTATCAGGTTGATGGTAGTTGGCTCGGATTTTGCTCTATAAAATCATCATCAGCAGAAACTCTTGTGATGCTAGATGTAAGAAACATACCTTTAGCAGGAACAATGTAGCATTTTGGTTCCCCAGCCTCGAGCAATTTCAAGACTCCCCGGTACCTCTCCTTAGGAACGGGTCAATGAGCAACATCGATAGATCATTTCAGCAGATAGATGTCGATATTGTCGCCCGGGGCATTCATATCTAAACAACCCTGTATTAGTTGTCGCACTAGCTCCTATGAAGTCATCGTGACTTACCGGCGAGAATGATCGTGAATAGTCAACCGTCTTTTTGAGAGAGGTTGCCCGTTGTTCTAGTTCGGGCCCGAAGAAATCTAGCTAGATTACTTCGAGGAAGTTGTCTGGCATCAGATGTTGGCCTCCTCGTCTTACTTATGGGGTTGTTGTCAAACGCCCAGGTATTCTAGCTTGATGGCCCGTTTGTGTCAGCGAAATTTCTGAGAGTCGATCTAATCAAGTCTGGATTCTCGGGCTCAGGCCAATCTGCGCTTCTAGGGAGGGTGGAGTTTGGTATGGATGTGCGAGTGTGGATGAAAGGAAGAAGGGAGAAAAGAGGAAGGAAAGACCAGGGCAGAGCTTGAAGGAGAAGGCATGTAAATAGGTAGGCACAACCCGGATTCATACTGCCTATGTAGTACTAGGCAGGTGCTACTTTTCTACTTTTATATTATAATCCCTGCTTTATTTTAATTCCCTGCTCTTCTAGTTCCTACTTCCCAGTGACATTTATCTTTTCCCAACCAATACCGTGGACCTTCAAGCTCAAAGTATGGAACGTGTTAGGGAGTCAATCAAGCAAGTGGATCAGAACACTTGGCTTATTGGGGACCTGATTCTCCCTTCTTCGAGTGGTCGTTCTGATGCCTCTTCTTGGTATGACCCAACCGATACTATTAGCTACACTTTCACCAAGGCGCCCAAACCTCCGCCTCCGGCCGCTCCACTACTTGCGCATAATCCAAGAATTGCCCTCGTATACGAAGCTGGAGATAGCCCTGCACTTTGGTACATAGTAAATAGTGCGAGTTCCTAACCGGCGTGCTAGTTATGTATATATAAGATGTTTATCCATCTTGTGCAAGACTTTTGCTACTGAGGAGAAATGGTCTCATGTGTATGTAAACAAAAAAAACCAAGATAGAAGATTTACAAGCATGTGCTCCTACATGTTGCCATATGCTTTATAATGATTTATATAGAAAGTGGCAGCCATAACTGCCTATCACCCAAATAAAGTTTCCCCCCTTCATGTTGTACATTCAGACACTCAGCACCATCCTGCATCAAATGATCGGACATCAAAAATATCCATCGGTGGATTCGTGAACGGATCAAGGCTTTGTGGTTTCAGTTGGGAAAACAGTCGTGGTAGTGGTGGTAGTCACGGTAAAGGGAGCATAGCTCGGCTGCGCGTAAGGAACGGTTACAGTTGTGTGTATGGTCACTGTAACGGGAGGTCCACACATGTCGTTGGAAGTGTTGGAGGATGCATTGTTGGTGATTGAGCTGATAGCTTCTGCAGACAGCGTGCTTCCAACCTTTGCACTCGGAGTGATGACAGCAGTTTCAGCGGAGCTGGTAGTAGATTGCTCACTTGTAACCGACAATCGGGTACTCGACAAAGAGACAGAAGGAGCTCCCAAAGAGCTCGCTTTGCTTGTGGTGGCCGAGGTGGTGTATAAAGAAGAGATAGATGAAGGGTAGCGAGTCACAGCTGGCAAGGTCCAAGGGGTCACTGTTGGAGCAACACTAACACCTGAAGCTGTGACATTGGCCAATGCTTGATCAGGGAATGGCTTTGGACCAGGCATCGTATAGTTCACGATCCAAGGACGATACATATAGAAAAGAATGCCAGGTTCATTACCATCGTAGACACCTGGGATTTGAACTGTGGGACTCGGAGTAGCCGTGCTATCACTCTCCACCTCAATCTGTGCGCAATTGAAGTAAAACTCTGCACTACCCCAGTCACCCGCCCCGTGAAGACCAATATGCTCAATTCGAACAAGATATTGACCAGAAGGAACCTCCTTGGGCAGCACGAAAGTGAAATTTCCGGTATCGGTCGCACGCCAGGTGATTCCATCACTGGAGAACTTTTCAGGACCAAGCTCGTAGATTTTGAACCAGGCACCCGATCCATCGTAGTCACGAACGTCACCAGGGGCCTTGGACATGTAGACCTGGAGAGGACCTGGGTGTTGAATGAGGGTGTTGAAGTCCGTGCCGAAACCAATTTCGTCGCCCGCTTTGACTTTATAGACACCCGTCTTGCTGGCGAAATCTTGGGAGCCAGTATTACAGCGGAAGTCTTTGCTTGAGTACTGGCCCTTCATGGGCATATAGTTCTGAGTGTCTTCACGGACATACTCGTAGTATCCTGTGAAGTTCCCATTGGCAATGAAATGAGGGAAGAAATAATGAGCGGACACATTAGGGATAGCCGCCAGGGCTACCAGTGTGAACAGCGAAAGGTTCTTCATCTTGTAGAATAATAATAATAAAAAAAAAAAAAAAAAAAAAGAATGTGGATTGTCAGGAAGACAACTACCGCCAGGGCAAAGGAAAACGAGGGTAGGATGGAAAGGAAAGCAGCATTCCAATACTATATTCGCCGAATTTTATATATATATATACCATAATTAGGCATCAGGGTTGATAAGTCCCATAGTCAGTTTCACAAAGCGATGATAGAGCTTGGCTGTTTCAAATTGAGCGCTAATCCCAAAGTTATGCCATGTTCTACTCCATAGTTCGCCGAATTTATGCACATAGAGCTGAAAATTGCATAAGATGCGAAGTTCAGGGAAATCCTCAAGTAGAGAAATTGGAAAGGGGCTTTGCTGATTTGATATTATACGCAATGAGCCTGACAAATCAGGCATAAATGCAGCACACTGGAGACAGTCTGTCTTAAGAGTGAGACACCCAGCAACTAGGCTGATTACTATATTGCTCTGTGCTTAGATATAATTGTCCAACTCAGAGGTAAATAAACCCAGCGAATTGAATGATAAGGTGACTATGATCTGTAGATGTTCAATGTGTGTACATCCAACCTTGGAAGGTTTACGGGTAGACCCCAGGCAAGCGGGGTCCCCGCAGGTTATCCGCTTATCTGTTTCGGGCCTCGGTAAGTTTGGTAAGCTTCGAAGGGATATAAAACTGCAAGATTAGAGAAATTCTACATTCCTCGCATATTACTACTTGAGCTCTTCAAGATGACATCCCTTCCGCGTAAGATATGGGAACATCCAGCCCCAGAATCGACCCAGATGGGTCACTTCCAGCAAGACCTAGAGAAATCCACCGGACGCACGTTTGATGTGAGTGAAGATAGCCCATATAAAGATCCTATATTGTCTAACTTCTCCCAGTCTTTCCATGATATGTACCTATATTCAATCAAGAACCGTTCGGCATTCTGGGAATTCTGCTGGAAATACTTCCAACTGATCCATGAGGGCTCCTACACAAAGGTATTCGATGAATCTGCTCGGATGGACAGCGTGCCAGAATGGTTCACTGGTATACGTCTGAACTTCGCCGAAAACTTGCTTTTCTCGCGTGTTGTTGGCGACAAGACAGACAAGGAAGATGACAAGATTGCCGTGAGCGAAGTCCGAGAAGGCGCTGCGCATGAGGTTATCCATCTTACCTGGGGTGAGCTCCGACGACGGACTGGAGCACTGATCCAGGCTATGAAGGCCCATGGTGTTGTTCGGGGTGACCGTATTGCTCTCTGCGCAGCGAATAGCATTGATACACTTCTCGTGTTCCTGGCATCAACGGCTCTGGGAGCTATCTTCTCGTCCAGTTCTACGGATATGGGTACTAAGGGTGTTCTGGATAGACTGCTTCAGATCAAGCCTCGTTGGCTGTTTATGGACGACTCGGCAGTTTACAGTGGCAAGACTATTGACTTGCGACCGAAGATTGGGGAAATTGTTCAAGGCATGAAGTCTGATCCTGAATTTGAGGGAGTCATCGCACTACCTCGGTTCTCCTTGCAGCCGGCGGATATCAGCTCCATTCCTAGGACTAAGACTCTGGCGGAGTATCTCGCAAAGGCGGGCGGCAACGAGAAACTTGAATTTGAAAGAGTTGGATTCCGTGATCCTTTCTTGGTGGTTTACTCGTCTGGCACGACAGGGCAGCCGAAGTGTATCGTCCATTCTGTGGGTGGTGTGCTTCTAAACTCGATCAAGGAGGGGATATTGCATACTGAGCTCGGGCCTGATTCTGTCGCCTTGCAATACACGACCACTGGATGGATTATGTATATGTGCGCCGTGCAGACTTTGCTATTTGGTGCGCGGGTGGTGCTATATGATGGAAGCCCATTTATTCCAGGCATCACTGCTTTGGTTGATCTTGCAGCCCAGGAGAAGTAAGTCGTCCTTCTGTTGAGATTCACTCTACGATGTACAAGTTCAGGCTGATCAATTGCAGGGTGACCCACCTCGGAATATCACCCCGGTGGCTGCATGAGTTACAGCAGGCTAAGATCAAGCCCCGTGAGAAAGTGGACCTCAGCTCTTTACAGGTTGTCACAAGCACTGGTATGGTGCTGCGGGATGCATTATTTGAGTGGTTCTACGACGAAGGATTCCCATCCCATGTTCGCCTGAATAATATTTCTGGCGGCACTGATATCGCGGGATGCTTTGGAATCGGCAACCCTCTTGCGCCCCTGTATGTTGGCGGGTGTGCCGGATGCAGCCTAGGGATTCCTGTGGAGGTTTACGATTCGACAATTGAGGGCGGCGACGGAATTAAGGGTGAGCCTGTGGAAGAGGGTGTTCCGGGCGAGTTGGTCGCCACGTCTGCTTTTCCCAACATGCCCACACTGTTGTGGGGTGACCAGGGCGGCAAGAAGTACCATGATGCGTATTTCGGGAGATTCGATAGTGGGCCCACCCCTCTCTTCATGTGCCTCTTTGTATGGTCGCTAATTCATCTACAGATGTGTGGACACACGGCGACTTCGTTTCCATCCATCCAATCACGAAACAGATCGTGTTTCACGGACGCGCCGATGGAGTCCTCAACCCATCGGGTGTGCGGTTTGGATCGGCAGAGATCTATCGAGTACTCGAGGGTCAATTTTCAAAAGAAATTGTTGACTCCATATGTGTAGGCCAGCGACGACCAACCGATGTAGACGAGCGAGTCATGCTCTTTTTGCTCCTGAAACCTGGGGTAGCGTTCACGCCGGACCTGGTTGCACGAGTGAAAAGCGCGATTCGTACAGAGCTGAGCCCCCGCCATGTGCCGATGTTCACGTTCGAGACACCCGAAATTCCGGTATGTACTTTTGTAACAAAAACAAGATCTTTAAAAGCGGGACTGACCCACGTATATCGTCACAGACCACAGTCAACCTCAAAAAGGTGGAGCTTCCTGTGAAGCAGATTGTTTCGGGAAAAATCATTAAGCCATCGGGGACACTTCTCAACCCGAAGAGCTTAGACTTCTACTATCAATTCGCCAAAGTGGAAACGTTGCGCCAGAGCAAGCTCTGAGTGGACTCTTGGGCCTCTTCGCATTTCATGTGTCTCCATATAAGAGGGGCAGACCGGGTCCATCGGGATCGTCACTTATCTCTGCCAAGCTTTAACCAAGCTTTAGCAACACCGAGATCGTCTTGAGGGGGTTTTTGGTCTGTGAATACGTAATAGAAGGGAGAAAGTAGATTAAATTAGGTAGAAGAATTAAATATTTATAGCATTGGAAGAAATACAATTTATGTGGAAGAAGTGTAGAAGAAGAAGAAAATGAAGAGGGAAAAGTGATGGGCTGATGGAGTCGGTGCGTGCACTGCGTCATTAAATGTGTCTCCCCGCACGGGAACAGGTTGTCTGTCTATTTATCGTTTCTCAGCTTCTTCCCTCTCCTATTCCCCAATTCCTGACTGCTGTGTATTCTTTTATTTTCCTTCTATCTTCTATCATTTATTCGCAATTATGGTCCATCTCGCCAAAGTTAAGAACGACAATGAGGTCCTCCCCTCTATTCGTGATGTTGACTCCATTCCTCCTGTGGAACTAAATGACTTCGACACCAATGTCTACGGCACTCACTTTGCTGCGGATCATATGCCTCAGCATGAAATGCCAGAGCGAGAGATGCCCCGCCAGGTTGCCGCTCGGATGATCAAGGATGAGCTCAGTTTGGACGGTAATCCCAAGCTCAACCTCGCCAGTTTCGTCACCACGTACATGGAAGATGAGATCGAGGAGATCATGACCGAATCTTTCAGCAAGAACTTCATTGATTACGAGGAATATCCCCACTCCGCCGAGATCCAGAACCGATGCGTGAATATGATTGCTAGACTCTTCAACGTTCCCACTGATCCCAACAGTGAGAATGCCATGGGTACTTCGACCATTGGGTCTTCCGAGGCCATTATGCTGGGAACACTAGCTATGAAGAAGCGATGGCAGAACAAGCGCAAGGCCGAGGGTAAGGACTGGTCGCGCCCCAACATTGTGATGAACAGTGCTGTCCAGGTCTGCTGGGAAAAGGCTGCTCGTTACTTCGACATCGAGGAGAAGTACGTCTACTGCACCGACACCCGATTTGTGATCGACCCTAAAGAGGCAGTCGATTTGGTGGATGAGAACACAATCGGTATCTGCGCTATCTTGGGTACCACCTACACCGGTGAATATGAGGATGTCAAGGCGATCAACGATCTGCTAGTGGAGCGTAACATCGACTGCCCAATTCACGTTGATGCGGCTAGTGGTGGCTTTGTCGCGCCATTCATCACCCCCGAGCTGGAGTGGGACTTCCGTCTGGAAAAGGTCGTTTCTATCAACGTCTCCGGTCACAAGTATGGTCTGGTCTACCCCGGTGTCGGATGGGTCATCTGGCGCTCTCCTGAATTTTTGCCCCAGGAATTGGTGTTCAACATCAATTACCTAGGAGCCGACCAGGCCAGCTTTACTCTGAACTTCTCCAAGGGTGCTTCTCATGTTATTGCCCAATACTACCAACTGATCCGCCTGGGTAAGCACGGTTACCGTGCAATCATGACCAACCTGACTCGCATCAGCGACTACATGTCTGCGGAATTCGCGAAGATGGGCATGGTCATGTTGAGTGAGACACATGGCCGGGGTCTGCCGTTGGTGGCCTGGCGTCTTCCCACAAACAACGGTCGTGTCTACGATGAATTCGCCGTGGCCCACCAGCTACGCGAGCGGGGCTGGATTGTGCCTGCTTACACCATGGCGCCTCATAGCGAGAAGCTGCAGATGATGCGCATTGTCATCCGCGAAGACTTTAGCATGAACCGATGTGACAGCTTGATTCAGGACTTCAAACTTGCTATCGAGACTTTGGATGCTATGGACAAGTCCATGATTGCCAAGTACAAGACGTAAGTTTCTTCTGTTCTAGATTTTTTTTTTTTTTTTTTTTTTTTTCATACTGACAGCCCCACAGGCATATGCAGAGCCACCGCAACCACCCTCGACACCAGTCGCGTGTCCACTCTCACTACATCGGCGAGAAACACTCGCTGCAGGGCAAGTCTGGCAAGACACATGGCGTGTGTTAATTTCCCCATGTTCCTATGACATGATCCAACTCATTGGGTTGGTATCTAGCTATAGCATATGGATCACGAAATTGAAATGAATAAATCAATGAACCCGAGGTCACTGGCCTTGCATAAGTTAGAGCTTTACCAGGGACGGCCTAACAAGTGCTGATTCAATGCGGGGAAATAGCTTTCAATAACATGTAGGTCTATTGGCCAATATGTAGTTTCCATTGACTGTTCCCGTCTAGCAAAGGGGTTCGGCTTATTTTCGGTCGATAATTTTAGATCGGCATAACGGTATTATCAGAGACAATATATGCGTCCATTCAGGATGGGGAAAATGGTCAAATTGTCGATCCCGATCGACCCGGCCAAATCTGTGCCTGTCCAAATGTGGAAATATCTGGCTAGCGTCTTCCTAATTAGGGAATATACGAAAAGGTGCCTAGCTCGCTTTTAGAATTGAAGAAATTGCTGTCTTCGGGCACTGCCACGAACAAGAAGTCCCCCCCACACTTCTCGGTCAGCCCAATAATTGCTTCACCCAGCTTCGTTGAAAGTTGAAATGCCTCGAGCAATTGAGCGCCAATACGCTATAGAGAAACCACCTCTAAGCGACAGAAGTAGTCTCCTCCGACCACCAGGATATGGCCATCCTACTGGGAGACGTGAACGAAGGGACAAACAGCTAGCTAGTTCACATCTTCGACATCGAAGGCTATAACATCGAGTGCGCAGACAAAACAAAGCCAACAAGAAGGTTTATGTGACCCCAAAAAACCTCTTCACAAATTACAAAATCGACTTTGGCTACGACGACGCCAAACATACCCCGTATCACAACAACCGCAAGCCGAAGCTGCTAGACGACCACGAGGACGCTTCACCATCGCCTTCGGCATCACCGCCCTACAGGAAATCAGTTGCCACCAAAGCCAGCACCAGCAACCCGGAAGAGCTTGAACCCGCGGAGAATTGGACCAACTGAATAAACTATAACTATGCCCAGGTGTTGTATCAATAAATGCGACATGTTAGTTCTATCAAGTACACTCCATCTCTTTAAAAATGACTGCTATCATCAATGCGACCGTTCGTTCTGATAATCTATTCTGTTCTAGACCAACCTTTTTCTCCTAGGATTACTTCATTTATTAGCCCCAGAATACACTAATTAGCGTTTCGCAAAGCCCAAAGCCCATCTTAGGCGGCCTCTATAATCGCTATATTACGACCTTCCACTAGGTATATAATGTTCAAAGTAGGATGTAGGACATAGTAGCTATATAAGTATATGTTTCAAATTCAAATAAAATCCGACTACGAAAAAGGTCAATATTAAAGTTTTGACAAGATACCTAGGTATGTTTTTAGGATTTGTACAGGAGTACTACTACTTTCTAAATAAACTTCTATGATTTATAGATCATCTAAATAACCCGTTTTCTCTCGTTTTTAAACGTGATATCGAGAGGTAACTAGCAATTGATTATAACTTATTTAAAGTAATAAAATACTCCCTTTAGTATAAGGCTTAGAATGGTAATTTTAAAATCCTTAAAAGGGAGTTCAACTTCTGAATTCTCGGCATATTTGTACTGTTTGGGGCCCATTCGAGGGCCCATTAACCTGTAGTGGGCTTCTACTTAGGCCCGAAGGTGGGGCTCAAAGCCCAGCCCCTTTGCGGGTTGGGTTGGGCTATAGGCTTTATGGGCTTTGCGGAGCTCTAACCCTAAGCTAGCTTTGGACTTACATCTACAATATTGCCGCTGTGCACTCCTAGGAGCGAACTAGAGGGAACTAGGGCGCATTATCATGCCTATGAGGCAGATAGACTAGTTTTTTCTCAGCCGACCATTTAGTCAGACCTAAGCCGAATTCCAAAGTTTCTGCCTGAAGTACGGAGTAATGTAATCACAAAATGGATATATACTACTGGATCTCTCCCTTCCCATTTCTCTGCTTCTTCACTACTCATCCAATGAAAAAGCCTGCTGTGGATACATATCGCAGAGTAAGTTCAGCCTTCATTCACTGCTTGGCCCACATCAACTGATCGTCCTCCAGATCGGCATTTTTTAAATCCTGAGTGCCGTATCAGTCGTTTCCCCTTGACACTCTAGGGAAACCTTCGTCAGGTGGCTTACTCGAGACGAAGGATTTAATCTTCTCGGACTTATGGGAGAAGAAGAAAGACTTGATCGCCAAGTTGTATATGGAAAAGCAATGGCCGGCCGTTGAGGTAGTTTATCAAAATGTTCAATCCGACGATTTCCAAGCAAGGTGAGAGAAATCACTATGTCCCCCAAGACCGGATCAAACCAACCCTGAATTAAAACTTAAGTATTAAGTAGGCTGAAGAAATGGTGCGTAATAAAGTGAGCATGTCAAGCTCGAAAGAAGAGCCACACATCCTTAGCCAACGAACTAGAAGTGATCAAGCGTAGGCTCTCAATCCAAAAAAATCCTGCTCTCATTACAAAGAGAGAGAGGCCCGCCATGACTGACCCGTACAAACAATCTACAGCATCCTTGAAGACCTCAAATGGCCCTCCCCGATGATTCAACAAATCACCCCAAGCCCCTGAGAAGACCATGTCTCTGTACCTGACTGTACCATCTACTCAGACCAAGAAACAAGAATTTCTTAAAACCACTTTCTCAGGGCAGCCACACACCTGCCCTGTCTGCGGGAGTAAGGAAGGTTTGGTGAGAAAGTACGTTTGGTGAGTCCAGCACCAAGTATGGGTGGTTGGGTGTTTCACGAGGTCACTGAGGCTGTCTGTTTGACCCATGTGTTGATCGAAGGTTGGTAAAAATTCGTTAGGTGGTCTTCAGGGGTACTGTATAGCGTTTTACGGCGCTTCACTTACAAATACACCCGAGTTACCATATGAAACCCGTGAAGAAATGGGCGGATATTGAATGGGCCTTTCTGTGGGTCCACAGTGCTACGTACATAAGCTTGGCTCGTCAAATAACCTTGTATTGATTTGAAAAGGTGCTAATTGATGCCAAGAGTGATAGTCCCGTGGGGTTACGCATATTTATTACGCGGCTAGAAACTCCAGTGTATATATACTTGTCTACAAAGTGTGTGGGAGATCAACAGTCGATCCATCTTCCACCTAAGGCATTGGCTCTCCCCGGATCATGCATTTTTCCAAGCTTTTGGCCGTCGCCAGTCTTGCAATTGTGGCCCTCGCCCACCCCGGGCCTCACAGCCACATTTCTAAAAAGGAAGTCGCTCGCCGAGATGGGCTTTCCAAACGCTGTGCTAGCCACGTTGCACGTTTCAATGAGAAACGCTGGAAGCGGAACACTTTCGGTAAACGTTCCCGCGGTAACACCACTGTGCAGATTCAGACCGAAGCACCTTATTACGAGGTTATCCAGAATGATACCTGCGTGTTGACCCCTGAAGTGACTGAGGGACCGTATATCTGGCCGCGCTCCCAGACCCTCCGTCAGGATATGACCGAGGATCAGCCCGGTGTTCCCCTGTGGCTGGATGTTGGTGTGCTGGACATGGCTACCTGTGAGCCTTTGGAGGGTGTTCTGGTCGACTTTTGGCACTGCAATGCCACCGGAAGCTACTCCAGCTTCACAGGACTGTCACCTAACACCGCTTTCCCGACGCTCCTGGAGCAACTCAACATCACTGATTTCGAAATTGGTACCACGGACATCCACACTGACGACACTACCTTCTTGCGTGGAATGTGGCCGACTGATGCCAACGGCATGATGGAAATGAAGACCATTTTCCCAGGTAAGCTTCACCCTCTACATCACATGGACTCACCCTTTCCATATCAACCTGGTATTGAATGAATTGCTTAATTTGGCTGTCATTAATACCGGACGCTTTTGCGCAGGATTCTACATTGAAAGAGCTATCCACATTCATGTGCAAGTTCATACCGACTGGACCATTCGTGAAAACGGCACCATCGCCTACGGTAACACAGTCAGCACCGGTCAGGTATACTTTGAAGAGGAGCTTGAGGAAAAGATCATGGCTCTGGAGCCCTATGCCTCACATACAGAGATTAACCGCACCACCAATGCTGCCGACACTGTCTTTAGCGAAGACACTGCAAATGGTTACAACCCCGTCATCTCCATCGTTCCTATTGACGGCAAGGATGTGACCAAGGGTATGGTGGGATACATCACTGTCGGGGTAGACACGACCGCAATCGAGTAAGGAGGATTGCTCGATTCTAAAATTCACATGGGGAATTTAGATGGCTTTGTGTAGGCATGTGATGCTGGCGTAAATACGCCAGTATATCGAGGGTAATTCATCCTACCTGTTTTGTAATTTAGTTATATTATATAACAAAGCTCCCCCAAAAAAAGAAGGACAGTAGTAATGCTATCAACTACCTAACTATCACAGTATAAATTACCCTATAGGGCTAATCCATTCTGGGTATCCATGGGTAGCTTACGGCGGGGGTGCGTCAGTGAGTAATCAGAGGGCATCCAATTCATGGAATCCATATATAAGTACTCACGGAGGACTCCCGAGGTCCCGGAGAGTACTTATATCAGACTTGTACAACTATTTTAAACGCTTACAAACAAGAGCAAGAAGCCCACCGTCCAATGCTATCGTTTAAGTACTCAAAGATCTAATGACCATCTCGTGGATATCTACATACAAGAAGTGTAATATTTGAGGCTGAAGCGAGATCATGTCAATTGTGATGTCATGCATACGTAGAATTATATATAAGAGTCCCTAGGGCTATAGTGCTTGCTTTTCCTAATCTCGCTACATACTTATATACCATGAAGCGTATCTTGATTGACCTGGCCAGGAATTATCCTCCAGCCCGAGACCTTCCACCGCAGACTTCCGCCCCAGTTCAACTTCCTCCAGCCAAGGCGACGAAGCTTACTCCATCCAAGTCAGGCGAGGAGAACGCAACCCTGTTCTTCGTGGGAACGGCCACAACAATCATGTGTGTTCACATCTAGAAAGTTGTCAGCATGTACTAAATAGAGCAGAGAATGGACTGGAATACGGATTATAACTGATGTCAGCTTTTTATGTCGACCTTGGGAGCCAAATGCTCACATACTGATCGTGTTAGCCTAACTTCCTTCACGCAGGCGATCATGTCCACCTTGGTCCAGGTGTGTCAAGTGAGCGCCTCACCAATCCGGCCATCGACCTGCACGATCTCCCTCGGATTGATCTGGTCCTTCTCTCCCACTATCACGAGTGAGTTTCGGAGGCTCGAGGCATTGAGAAGATTACCAACGTTGATCTTTCCAGGGACCACTTTGATAAAAAGGTCGAGACTACATTGAGGCGTGATATACCCATCATCACTACACCACATGCGAAGGAGCATCTCAATTCCAATGTGCACGACCCTTTTACATCCGTGTCTGCGCTCGATCCATTTGAGCAGGTTGAGATTAATATTGAAGGCACAGAAGGGCGAGGACAGCCCCGACTGCGTGTAACGGCGATGCCAGGGAAGCATGTACCTCACAACCGAATGGCAAGGAAACTCAACGCGCTAGCCAATGTGGTGGGTAGAGTTTCTTCTTCGAGGTATTCCTAATTAGATGGCCCTCGAGCTAACATACCAACAGTTTCCCCCAATCACTGGCTGGATGCTCGAGCTAGGCCACGGCGGCACCAACACCGCAGACTTCTCCTGTGGTTATCGCATCTACATCTCAGGGGATACCCTGATGGTACCCGAACTGCATGAAATCTCTAATCGATATGCAGGCCAACGGATCGACTTGATGCTCATCCACCTCGGTGGCGCGACCGTTCCTTCTCCTTTGGTAGGAAGACTAATGGAACCACTAGCATTGACGGCTACTATGGACGCAGAGCAGGGGTTTCAATTGATTCAACTGATCCAACCAGACGTTACAATCCCGATCCACTATGATGACTACGACGTATATGCGAGCCCACTAGAGGATTTCAGGCGGATCATCGAGGTAGTGGGGTTAATGGAGAAGGTTGTGTTTTTAGATCGTAGGGATCAATATTGCTTTCGGGTTATGGAATAGGAGGGCTTAATAGTAAGACATTGAGATTTTATTTAACTACCCCGTCCTCTATATGTGTGTCTGTGCTTGAGCTCAGCCCTGGACGCGTTGGTCGGGGGCTGAGAAAAAGGGCCCCATCACATATTTCAAGTGCACCATTCTTGGTATGGGGAATGGCACTTTATACGAGAATTATAATTTGCTTCGCCCCCAAAAGAGGGTCCTTTTTTTTTTTTTCTTTTCTTGTCTTGGGGAATTTGGGGGCGGGTTTATAACCGCAGTACGGTATGTGGTAGATGACGAGGCTCATACATGGCTCGTGTTCCATTCTCCATATCAAAAGTATTCGATTTTGAATGACTGATTAGGAAATTGCAGGGCTGTTCTTTCAAATCTTCAAATACTACTTCGTACAATTATGGATAACACGGTAAACGGGAGCCGCTTTCGATATCTTAAAGCCTCTCACCGTGGTCTTGGCGTCCGATGCATCAAACAAGCTGTTTTACTGTTGTGCTTTGACTGATTATGCATCTCGAATTTATTCTCTTATCTCGGTACACATGTAGTACGGCTCTACATACTAAGGTGAATAGCTAGTGACGTTCGTAGTAGATTTCAATACTTGGGACAGCGGAATCTCACGACAAGGCAATCTGTCTATATTGGCCTTGACTGCCTATAGATATCGGATATGACATGCTAACCTACAAAAATGTAAGCTCTTTGAGTGGGACTACATCCCAGGTTATAAATGGTGGATCTCTTTTACACCAAGCGGTCATCCATTGTTTACCCCTATATATAGAACAACCTCTCCAATCATCGCCCGTCGACCCCAGGTCCACCAAATCAGCCTCTTCCCCTCTCTTTCCCTCCCCTCCCCCCCTTTATTTGGGCTCAAGATCAGAAGCAGTGATGCGCAACCTTTTTAAAAGCAAGTCGCCTTCGAATCGGACAAATCATCATTCTATGCGAAGCGCCGAACAGTTGGCCCGCCCCGCGTTTGCTCCACCAGACCCCAACGTACCCAACGACTCAGACCGGCGCTTTTCACAATTCGAGTACTCTGCTGGTCCTGTACAGAATCAGCCGCAGACTCTAAATCGGTCACAAAGTCAACGTCAGAAACCTTTGAGTGACCGTTCGACTGTCAACGTTGTCGCCGACGACTCACAGAATCGCAAAAAGGGCCGTGTCGAGCGCAGTGTCTCTGTCAAGGGCAAAACAATCTCCCTTCCTATCTCACAACCTACCTCACCTGGAATTTTGCATCCAGAGACCCTAGACGAGTCCGAAGAGTATCCGGCACATCTCCGCCATTCCTACGCGGAGAACCCTTCACCTCTGGCGCCACAATCTCTCGCCCACCAACAGCAATACCAATCGCCCCAACGAGGTCCCCGACCTTCCCATCCTGCTCACGCCCAAGACAATCCCGAGTGGGCGCAGAAACCGGTGCAACCCCTTTATACCAAACTCCCGCGGTCCGGCACCGATCCATCTCTCCTTGAACAGTACGTCCGACCGTCGCCAACCGATATTGTCCCCGAATCACCACGCTACGCGCCGGAACATCTTCTTCGGGGACAGGTTTTCCCCCTACCCAGGATCCGGTATTGAATACCCGGCCCCCATCCCAGCAGACTCACGAGCCGCTTTCCCCGTTACAGTCCGTTTATCCTGACGCCATGCAGTCTTCCGTGCAGGCATCACAAAACCAGGGTCAATTTCAGCAGCTGGACAGACAAAAATCAACAGGTTCTCCGCAGCAAAATCGGAGTCGGCAGGGTAGTGTGTCAAACAACATGCCTGATCCCGGACGGAGCACACCCACCAATATACACCGCCGCGAGGATTCCGGGGATGTGGACCTGCGGGCATTGATCCAGAAGCATGACGAACTCCGTAAGGAATTTTTTTTTTTTTTTTTTTTTTTGGTTTGAATTCGAGGGATGATTTTTGATAACTAATAATAAATAGAGGCCAAGTATTCCAAGGTGAAACGATACTACTTTGAGAAAGATGCGCAGGTTCAGCATCTCCAGAACACGGTCGCACACCAACGGATGGCAGTGTCGCGTACCGTACTTGACGATAATGAATATACCAACCGATTCCAGCGACTTGACGGAGCGATTAAAGACCTAGCATTCTCCGTGCGCAAATATTGGCGCAGTATTCCATCGTGGCTGAATGGAATGGTCACCGACGATGCTTTATCGGTTGGCACGAAAGAAATGACCGCGGTCGGACGGGCGGTAATCAGCCGATGGCTAGTAGAAGAAGTATTCCAGCGTTATTTCCATCCATCCTTGGATCCAGCATTCAGTGTGCAGCTGAAGAATATTGAAATGAACCTGCGACGGCAGCGAGCGTCATCCGAAGAAGACCGCGAGAATGCCTCTGCGAGACTTTCTTACTGGCGCCGCACGACCTTTGACGGACTGAGTGATTCCTTATCCGGACCTGAAGCCCAAAAACATCGCGTTAAGCTAGTCGAGAATCTCATCGTGGAACTCGCTGCCTTCATGGGATCCCAGCTGCACGAAATTGCATTGCCAGATCTAGAAGCAAGCGTGCGGATGATCGTTGAGAACTCAATCAACATCATCGAGAAAATCCCTCTCGAAGCCCGCGATGTCTGCGTCGATTACTTCCCACCGGGCATCTCCCTCGCTGAGCAATACATGAAGGTCGAAGGCCAACTACCCGCACTGAGCCACCCGCCCCCCACCACCCTCAGACCAAGAGCAGCTCGAGGAGCCTACCGCGGCAGAGGGAGATGCCTCATCCGGCTCAACTGCCGGAGTGTTAGAGAATGGCTCACCGGCCCAGCAAAAGCCCAGCAAGAAGTCCATCTTTGGCGCCTTGATAAGGGGTAAGCATGCCTCCAGCGAGATCAGTCGTCCGGCGCCGGCGCCTGGACCAACCGAGGACAAGAGTGAGCCTGCAGAGTTAGCTCAGAGCCACCCGCGTATCCGGTTTGCAGCATTCTTGGCCGTTGAAGTGCGCGGCAAGGGTCCTGCAACGGTGCTGATCAAGTCGCCTGTGTGGCTGGTGGAATAAACGGTACCTAAGTGCTGCTAGATTAGATCGGGAATCGCTGGTAGTGGTTCTCGATCTAAAAGGATTGAGGGTGTACATAGAGAACGGACAAAGCTGATACATGCTGGCATGGCGACGAAGATCATGACTTGTTAATATCCATTGATATCCTGAGGCGTTTCAGTCGTTCAGCGGTGGCAGTTTTCAGTTGGGGTTTGGGGTCGAGTTATATTCTTTTCTTTTCCTTGACGACTAGAATCTGGGATTCTCTGATGATTGTGCTTTTTTTAGTAGAAAGTTTTTCAATTCGATGTTTCTTAGCGGCATTCTTTGTAGCTGATCCACGAACTCATATACCTATTCCTCTTCTTCGTTTCCTTACTTTCACTCCATATCCAACGTATCCAACACATCAATATGCAACCAACACCATATACCCTACTCACTAAACTAACTTCCTACAAAGGAGGCGGCGCAAGATCCAACCCCTCAACCTCGAATTTAAACGCATCACTCCGTGAATAACTCCCAGCAACATCAAGATCCAGTCGTCCACGCTCACAATCATCCATATCAATGCGCGCGATAGCCAACCCATCACCGGCGGCAACAGCAGGGTTAGACTCACTTGCCGACGTGCCAGGTGCGGAATCAGTTACAGCAGCATCGCTACTATCCGGCACATCATCTGTGCAGACTTCCCACAGCGGACCGGCAAGAACCTCTCCAAGCGGTGAGACAATACAACTTCCACCACGACAGACGTAATCCAATACGGACTCCGAGGGAGCCAGAGGATGCCTATTATTCGACGTGGAGGAATTTTCCGGCTGACCCTGACTCTGACCCTGGGACTCACCGTGAGCCTGTGGCCAGACAATTTCATGCGGTCCCTCAGCAGTGATGGACAGTTTCCTTTCAGGATGCTTCGATTTACTCGCAGGAGGATTTGGATTTGGATTTTGATTCGGGCTTGCACCGGTATTCCCACCGGTAATCCACTCCGGCAGCTCAGAGCCGCGCACGCACTGGTTCGCCGAGAGCACGAAGCAGCGGCCTTCTATGCCGACGGTGCGCATGAGCGGGAGCCAGGTAGAGCGGGCGTCAGCCGTAGGAGCAAGATAGATATTGACGTTCTGGGAGTACAGACTCTGACGTAGGAGAGGCATGTAATTTTCCCAGCAGATTGCCGAAGCTATGGTTAGCGGGATACCGTTTAGGGTTGTTGTGACGGCACGGAGGGTTGAAGGGGAACCCTGGGCCCAGATCATGCGTTCAGCGGCCGTCTATTAAGGTCAATATAGGATCAATAGTAAAGCGGGAGAAGAAAGGATAAAGAAATCCATACCGGCATAACCTTCCTCCTCTTCCCCAAAACACCTCTAACAGGATCAACATAAACAACAGAACAATACAAACTACCCCCTGCTCTCTCCACCAACCCGGTAACGATAAAGACTCCTGTTTCCCTCGCAACACGCTCAAGAAACTCCCTCGTCCCATCCCCCGGAACCTCTTTCCTTCGGCAATCTCCAGCTTGCGACCAATCCACTCATCCCCGGCTCCAGCCGGCGTGTCGCCTAAATCAACGGCTGCCTTGAAGTACGCGAGAAACTGATCCCGGCCGCGCGGGTGTCGACTTCCAACTGCGGAGCCGAAAGTGCATGTCCGCGGGTATCCGCCTAGATAGGCTTCCGGGAAGAGGAGGAGATGCACACCACGGCGGGCGGCAAGGGCTGTTGTTCGTTCGAGGGCATGGAGGGTTTCGGTTAGAGAATCATGTGTACGGGATTGGGCGACTGCTACTGTAAGAGAGGGCATTTTGGGATTGATATTTGATTGTAGTATTAGAGTTACAGTTGGGAAGAGGAGAAGACAAGGGACCTCGGGAGTTGGGTTGGACTATGACGTGGAAATGGTCTTTGAGGGGAACCATGGATGCTTGGAAGCTTGGCTGTGGGGTAACCGTGGACTTGATATCGAAAAGGATAGGTAGGATTATAGTGGGGGCGAAGTGTCACAATATCAAAAGTATTCAAGATTTGAAGAATTATATTTTGGCGAACTTCTTTCGCGTTATGTTTTGGATTTTGAGATATCCTCTAGCTCTACTACCGCGGTAATAACCCGAGAGTCAGTCATTGAGCCCATACCGGCATTGAAAATATTAGATGTAGTCCGTTGGAATGAATGTGGGGTCTATTTTCCTGCTTCACGGGGCCGTAACATTTGGAGCAAATATCGCAATCGACACAATCGAGACATTTCCACCTAGTCACCGTAAATTGTCTGAACAGCTCCAGGCTCTTCTTAGGAGCAAGGATAAACGGTTTCCTTATCCGGAGTTACTATCGGCTTAAGATTAAAGCATCGTACCTAACTACAAATATAGTTCCAAACCCTGTGGCATACCGCGGAACTTCCATCATACCCAATACGATCTATTCCAGAGGATGTAACATTCTCAGGGTGTTTCCCATTAATATTGAACCAATTCCGATATACGATATAACTAACATCGTATGCAAACTTATTATCGAGCTCCTTATTGCTAAATTGAAAACCATACCACTCTGCGGCTGGGGATGGTTTATTCGGTTAACTTCTATTTGAATTAGAGAAAAACGCCTGGATGCGAATGGCACCCTTTTATCCACGACTGGCACCGGCCGGGTGGAATCCCGGTCGCTGCTCGACGAGATTCACTAGTGGCAGAAACAACTTGCGATGTTCCTTCGGTCCATCACTATGTATCGGACTCAGGTACGAACGGATCTCTTCCCAAGTCACCCATTCCCACCGATCACACTTCTCGGGTTCCATCAACTATAAAACATCAGTCAGATATGTAACAATATAGACAGCTCTGATTACTGACCTGAGGCTCGAGATTGTCCCCAGAGACGGTACATCCCATGAAAATAGTGACATAGTGTTTTCCATCATCGACCATCACATCATTCGTTGTCGTAAGGAAACGAAAGTCCGAGACCTTCAGGCCAGTCTCTTCAAGGACTTCTCGTGCCGCGCAGTCTTCAAACGATTCTCCGAATTCAAGATGACCTCCAGGGAAAGCCCAGGTACCTAAGAGAATGGTCAGATATCCCCATAACACAAAAATCACACAGGGTAGCGACAACCTACCGGCACCGTGGCTATTCTTTCGTCTACCGAGGACCACCTGACCCTCCTTGTTAAAGACAAAAACACCGACTCCGACCCGGGGATTCATATTGAAATCTGAGAGGCGTGTTCTGCCTCCGTTTGAGTCCTTTCAAGAGGAAAGAGCGGGAATGTTTTAACCAGGAATAAGGATTATGCCAGGTGACTTCCGAGCTGCCATGCTAGAGGCTTCTCGAATACTGACCGTACATACGGTATTCATGTCTGCCACAACGATACCCCACTCAATGAAAAGCGTCAATTTAAAATACTCCTTCAGCTGCTGCAAACTGCATACTTGCATCCCTGCCCAACCCCACCCGGGATTTGACCCATATCGCTTTTGCTGTATCGCACCATCCGGCCACACTTGTGTGAAACTAAAATGCCTTGAAACAACTAGCATATGTGTGCTGACAGTATGTCCCACTATCCTCCCCGGTGTATACCTATACGGCACGGGAGCCATATCATGCGCGTCATTTCAAATCGCCGGTCTGGAACCGGATACATCTCCGGATCTAATGCATGGCCAATTGACTTTTGGTGTGTTGTTTGGGGGCCTTACAGCTCCGTGTCTAAACCCAAAGCAAACATTTCAACTAAATTGTGCCGTGGTGATCCTTCGGGCTCCTGAATGTAACCGAAGAATCTTGATCAATCTGGTTGATCGCCACTTTCCTGCAGGTGCTGAGATGAATTTTTCACATTTGTACTGGGAGGCTCCATCACGTGCATTTACCAGTACCCTGGCATCCCTCATGTCTGCAGAAAGAATTATCGGATCGTTTCCCTTTCGGGGTTGCTTATGCAGGACGAAAGTACCACTAAAAGTCTGGGGCTGAGACTCTGCAAATCGACTTTCATAGATCAATGGTCGCTTTACACATGACCTTACGGCGGATTCTATAAAATACATTGGGGAGTTTTCCAGATTTGAATGCAATTTTTGGAATTAACTTTCAATTGAGATGGAGTTGAAGCGTCTAATAGTATTGGAAGCTTACTCTAATGATCCAGTTTTATATATAAAATCTAACTACGCATTTCTTATGAGCTCCCGGTTTCTTTTTTAGCTTGAAGTTTTGCTTTCCTTTTGTCACGCCATGCAGTTCCAAATTGGTATTCAGCGAAGACAAGCGGGGAAATTACCAAACAAATGAGACCGAGGATGGTAAATGCCCACCCGGTACCAACTGCTTGAATCATAGGCTCGATTGCTGCTGTACCGGCCGTAGAGAGGAGACAACGCGCCAGGTTCATACTGGCTGTTACACCAAAAGACTTCTTCTCGAACAAGTCGACGACAAGGGTTGCTGTGATGAAATAATTAGCCTCATGCTTCATTTTGATAATAGATGTTAGAAGCTAGAACAAAACTTACAGAATGCTGCAAGAATGCAGGTATCAAATCCGCCGACAAAGAATGACAGGGTAATAGGCGCTGCGATGTGAACATGGTATCGAACGGTCCAACCAAATGCAATAGTAGTAGCAATAAAGACGATGATAGGAATGCGCACTGCGCGAATACGAGCATGCTCGATTCTCTTTACTTCTTTCGGGGGATTCTCGACCCCCTCGGACTCCCGGCGAAGCTGCTTCTGGTAGTCGAGATCAAGCATCCGTCCAACGAGTAAGCTACCGCACAAGGATCCGATACCATTTGAGATGTATGTGAGACCGATGTGAAGCTCGCTGAGCCCATAGTCACGAGCATAGATAGTGGATGCAGCGACAATGCTCATTTGCCAAACGGTGTAGCAGATTCCAGGATACAGGATACAACACAGAACATCGAGCTCTTTCATGATGAGGATCGGCCCAATGAAATCGATTTTAAATAAAGGTTTTTGTAGAGGATGATCCCTTTGCATCCCAGATGGTTCCAGAAAGGGAAAGAGGGGTCGAAGATAACGCGGAAGCAAAACGCTACCGTCCCCTACGTGCGAGCGATGGGTCTCAGGAATGAAAAATGCAATGATAAGAAGCATAGTGGCTGACAGTCCGAGTAGAAAAAGAAAGATGTTGTGCCAGTCGGTATACTGAGCCATGATACCACCTATGACTGGTCCGAATGCTGTACCGAAACCAGCCAAGGCACTATATATGCCCATGAAACCACCTCGTCTGCTAACATGAATCAGGTCACTGATCATACCTGCGCCGAGTGCACTGGTTGAAGCAGAGCCGGTGGATTGAAGCGCACGCAGAATAAGCACAGCCGCGTAGTTGTTACTTAGTTTCAGACCGATACATGAGCCCACATAGAATGACAAAATGATCATGTATAATCGGCGGCGGCCCAGACTGTCGCCGACAGAAGCCCAGATTATTGGGGTAATTGCTTGGAAGAGCAAGTAGCTTGTAATCGTATAGTTGATGGCTGAAACGGATACATTTAAATCCCTGGAGATTTCGGGAATTGCAGGAACATAGACAGATGAGCTGAGTGGACTCAGGAGACCTGTGATGCTTGCAACGGCGAAAATAACGAGTCGCTGCGGGTAGCCAAATTTGCTATATGATGCTGCTGGATCGTCTTGTGGGGATGAAGCTGCGACGTCTTCTTTTTCTGAAGGGGGGATGTAGGTTCTGCCACGACAGTGATCTTCTCATCCACAGGAGGGTTTGATATCGACATGATCGTGATTTGACAAGTTTTGAATAATCCAAAAAAAGAAGATCAAGGTCGATACCGAGCCACAGAGTGGGCAGTAACGATAGCGTGAGGTATATTCTTTCAAACGAGGGTGATGTTCAAGAGAAGAGTAGCTCACAGTCCCAACGGGGTGGTTTCCCCTGTGTAAAGATGAGCGTTGACGCTTTAGTGATTCCGCTAGGTTTCTCGCCATGGAGAATGTTTTTTTTTCCTTCTCAACTAGGTATGCATGTCTAGTGTTGAAAATAAAATTGCGGTCCCTCCGCTAGGGCTATTTAGGTAGCGGGTAGTGGGGCGCATACGGTCCGTCCGAGACAGATCACTCTAGATCGCGGCTCGTCGAGTTTTACGCTTCGGACTCCGTCTCTCTTAGGCTTCAGCCTCAACGTTGGGTTATGATCACCGGGCTCGATTGGGATCACCGGTTTGACAGGTCAAAATTTTCGTGGACCGGAAACGGGTCCAAGTAGACTACTCCGTACGGAGTATGTAGTTCGAGGGTTACTGATGCATGTTTTATCTTAATCTATTCAGTAGGTTTTTATAGTAAGCACTAAAAGGTCTAGTGGCTGGGGTTGGACAGGGGTGGAAAAAAGCGAAAACTCAGTGTAACTCTATCTGTTGTACGAGATGCGCCAGTACAATTACGCATGAATCATGGGAGCGTACTGGAAATCTTGTCGAATTGCGCTTGGAGAGAGGAAGAAACGAACTAAGTACAACATATAGATCTACGACTAGAGTACTGAAATATAGAGTGGTCATGTGACCGTTTTTACTGGCACAAAAGAGAAAAATACCTTTAAGCGAAATCACCCTGGAAAGCATGGAACAATGTGTGTATTTTTCTCCATACATGTAGGGATGAGACTATCACATCGAAAGTGGGCCATAGGTCTGGCGCTGATGCCCTGATATTGCGCTGACCTTATCAATCCCCTGTCGCTTTCAACGGCACGGAGTAAACTCGGCATAACCTAGCTTGCTTTAGGCTCTACTTCGTGTGCCCTGATGCCTCATTTATCCTAGTCTCGTACTTTTTAGCTGAAACGTGGAACCAGACATCACGGGATATACCAAAGGGAGAAAAAAAAACCTCAAATTACTTCACATGCCAATTGTTCTAGCAGCCCAATTAAGTAGACCTTTTCTCGGCACCCGCCAGTTCCCCGTACCGGAATACTCACCGGCTTCCTTTTCGCTACACGGTGCACGAGGGCTCCTTTATGGAACTTACCTATAGCTTAGGATCGACTTTCATTTAAGTCACCCGCAGTTTGTTTGTTTGTTTTTTCTCGTTTAGCACTGTTGGGTGAGGTGCAATGCTCTCACAAAGGCTTGTATGATATGTACTCCATACTCCGTAATAGATATATTCTGCTAAGAAATATCGCTCCAGGTCATGCTGCTTCGGCCTAGTACAGTTTCGCTGATTTATGCATTAGCAGGCGGAAAAGAAAATCAAGTATCCACCATTACTTGGCATGCATATCGTTCAGTTTAATTGTATAAATAAATAGCAGTAATGCCAAGAAATAGTCATTTTAATATGTACTTCATTAGCCCGCTAAACCTATTATGTAGCACTCCGTACGAGTATACTCCGTAGATGCATTTTCTTTTACATGTGATTTAGTACGCACAGTCGTTGAGGCATCTGCTGAATGTAGGGGCCAAGAAGTGGGGAGAGAGTTGATTGCTATGGAGCGAGATCTGCAGACATACGGAGGAGTTCATGCCTGAGGTACCAACTGTATGGCCTAAGTCCAACAACAACAGTGCAGAGATCTCTACCCTCATAATAATACAGTGAATCGTACGAAATACTATGGGATATTAATAATGTAATAGTGGATTTAATATTAGTACTCTGCACGGAGTATATGATTTAAACAGAGAATATAGGGCTTGGCGTGCTTACAATATAATGTCAGCAGTACAAAGCAGCGCGACCCAGAGCGACATTTCTTAGCTGAATATGTCTAATATATCACTTATCAAAGAGTTTATTCATTTCTTTTTGTAATCCCCGGTTCAAAAGTACGAAAATTAGAGATCTAGATACTGCTGACCGTGCTATGTGCAGGATTCATGCAAGTAAGCCCTCTTTCTGCGACGTCCCGAGATCTATCAGTCATCTACGGAGGTACTTTGGCGTCTGTATATTTGGTTTAGATGCGTATTGCTAGTGATGAGACCTGATCAATTCAAACAAGTCTCATCCATGAAAAGAATATAAAACCCGAGCCGGCCTGCGCATCTTCGTTCAACCCTTCAAAGAAGTTTCTCTCTCAATCACATCATGAAGCATATCTTTGATGTTGTTATCGTCGGCATGGGCCCTGCTGGGCTTGCTGCCGCCGCCAAACTCGAGGATTCGGGTCTTTGCTTTGCTATTCTCGATTCTGGGAAGACGGCCTCCAAGCGAGATAGATACGATGCCACAGATGCCACTAGTGGTAACGGAGGTGCTGGGCTCTTCTCCGATGGCAAGTTCTCGTTCTTCCCCTCTGCAACTGAGTTGTGGACACTGGAGGACCAAAATGCCTTGAAAGAGGCCTACACGTGGACCTGTAACAGGCTCGGTGCTGCGGGTCTTGATACACCTCCCTTTCCTGATAGCCCCAAACAATACGCATACAAGGGTCCCGATGCCTTGAAGGAATTGGATTTCGTCTTGAAGGCGTACCCATCTGATTATCTTTCCTTGGAGGCACGAATGGATCTTATCGATGATATGGTCGGCTGTATCAGAGGCCAGATCTTCAACGAGTGCCACGTTGACGATGTGGAATATGATGCAGAGGCAGACAACTTCACGCTCAAGGTTAGAGATGTCAGCAAGAACAAAAACCGCGCTTTCTCTGAGCTCTATGCTCGTCGAGTCATCATCACAACCGGCCGTTTTGGGCCTCTGGGCAACGGCCTGATGAATCTTACTGAGCATTCAAACTTCCGCCGACTAGAGGTTGGATTCCGTATTGAGCAAACGAGTGATCGGGCTTTCTTCCGGGATATGAAGCAGCTCGATCCCAAGCTACGATTCCAGGAGACAGAAACGGGCATGGAATGGCGTACATTCTGTGTTTGTCGCCAGGGAGAAACAGTGCTGACTGAGACCAAGGGTCTTTGGACTGTTTCCGGACGCTCAGACTGTCCACCTACTGGCCGATCGAATTCTGGCTTCAACACTTTGATCCTTGATGAGAATACCGCGAAGCACTTAACCCTGCCGGTTATTAAGGCTATGATGAAGCCCGACTCTCACTTTGAGCTTCCGATGACAGGCCTTCTCCAAGAAGACGAGTCTGTTACCGGTAAATTCGACAAGGTCTACGGTCGCGAGTTGCGTCTTGCCATGACCAAGGGCTTGTCGCGTCTTGCTAAAAAGTTCCCCGACCTGGGTACGGACGAGAACGCGAAATTGATTGGACCTACTTTGGAGGGTGTTGGATGGTATCCTAAGGTCTCTGGTCGTTTGAAGCTGCTTGATGTCCCTGCTTATGTTTCTGGGGATGCCTGTGGTTTGTTCCGTGGTATCGTGGCTGCAATGATTAGTGGACATTACTCTGCTGCTGCTCTGATGGAGGAGATGGTTTGAATCGAATGAATAGGGGATTTTGTTTAGCCTTTTGTTTTCTCTTGTCATTCAAAATTTTCCTATAGCTTTATTTTACAACCAAATTGACGAGAGAAAATGATACCCCCTTCAAATAATCCCCATACAAAACGGACCTCCGTACGGAGTAATAAGTTTGATGTTTAGCTAGTACTATGCTATGAAGTGTGATTGCTTGCCAATAGGAGGCAATAAAGCCTGTGTTCTTTGTCCACCTTCTGCCTCTTTCTCTCTTCAGTCTTTCCCATATCAAATGCTTTCTATCCACTTATTTCAAGGATGAATGATATTTACACAGAGAATAATCTCTTATATAAGATGTGACTATGGACTGATGGGGGGATATTAAATCGAAGCGAGATAGAACAGAGACATCCTTTGCACGGAGATTCATTCATCTAAATCTCTACAATATGGCGAAGATGGAAAAAAGGTAGCCTTACACTCATCCTGGTATCCGTCTTCTCTACTGATCCAACTCGACCTTTCATCTAAAAGCACCACTATATTGCGAGCTGGGTCAACCTTGGCTAAATTCTCCTCCCTTCCTACCCATGTCCAGGCCTCGGACCCCGAAGAGGTAAATCGATCTAAAAATGCTTTACTCACAGCGAGGCGGTCGATGATTATAATCCTGTCAAACTCCGTGATCAAGAATACTCCATCCTCATGCCATATACTTGTCACCGATCGACTGGAGCTTGAAGAAGAGGTGGATCGAAAGCCTACAGGGCATATTTACGACTACGTTCACCCGAGAGAAGATTAACCTTTGAGTCTTGCTTCTATAAACCATGAGCAGAATTGTTTCAATTTGAGCTGCGCAAAACAACATCGATCTTCCCGAATCTGTCCCTTCCCCGAATACCTCACAGTCGTCGACTCTCTCAGCACTTACCATATATTTATTTTTCACTGTGAAATTTCCAATGCTATCATAGCAACTATTGCGACGGGAGTTTGGCATCAAGTACACAACCTCATGCTCTGAAAAGGAGCACAGCAGTGTCCGAGCCGGTTCATCGCCACCATCTCTACCCAACCGGTGTCAATTTCACGGTGAAATTTAGACTCTGGGCGTTCTGTTCTATATATGGCCTCACAGTCTGCTTTAGACTAGTACTCAAATCTCTCGGTACCCCAAGCCTCCTCAGCTGCCGCTTCAGATTCGGGCAGACCTTTAGATTTCTGGCGGTTATCTCGGACGACCCGGAGCTTGAAGGGGCTATATGACTTGATATATGGCACTCGGTTCCCTAATAGAGGTGATCTCCTTGCCCGGTCTGATTTGCCAACAATGCCTAGGCCATGACAGCAGACATAGCGGATTAATTCATCAAAGGCCCCTCATTCGACTATTACT